ATATTTTGCAGAGAAAGTCTCCTAAGATGGCTTTACAGCCATCCATTTGCTTTTTATGTGCAGAAAATGAAGAAAGTTTAAATCATGTCTTCTTTTTCTGCCCATATGCTGCTGTTTGTTGGAATCTTTTTCTCCGGATGTTCCAATTAGTATGGGTGTGGGATCGTGTGGCTGCTAATAATATTTTTCAGATTCTACATGGTGTTGGGTTGGCACCTAAAGCTAATCTACTTTGGATTAATGGATTTAAGGCTATCATCTCAGAATTATGGTTTGAGAGAAATAAAAGGATTTTTGAAGATTCTTGTCGCCCGCCATTGGAATGCTTCAACATTGCCAAATTCAAAGCTTCTCAATGGTGTGCTCTTTCCGATTTGTTCTCTTCGTATTCCCCTAGTATGATTTTTATGAATTGGGAGGCCTTTATTTCAACTTTGTAGTCTTGTCTTATGTTTTATTTTCTATTTCTTGCTTTCTCTATCACTCCTTCGGGAGTTTGTATCTTTGATAAATTTTGTTCCTTTTCATATATCAATGAAAAGTTCGTATCTTGTTCAAAAAAAAAATAAGTGAGATCTTCTACTTAATGCATCAGCCACTTTGTTAGTTTGTCTAGATTTATGTTTGATGGAGAAATCAAAACGTTGAATAAAAGTAATCCATCTAGCATGCATCCTAGATAAGTGCTTTTGGGAGTTAGATGTAGCGTAGGGATTGGTGATCAGAATATAATATGAATTCCTTTCCTATTAGGTAATGTTCCCATTGTTTTAATGCTCTAACCAAGGCATAAAGTTCTTGCTCATAAGTACTCCACTTTTTTCTAGCTTCACCAAGTTTCTCACTAAAATACTCAATAGGCTTATTCTCTTGACTTAGCACACCACCTATTCCCTTGCCCGAAGCATCTACTTCAACAACAAACAATTTATCTAAACTTGGTAGCAGTGGGATAGGTGCTGTAGTTAACCTTTGTTTTAGGGTCTCAAAGCTATGTTGTTGATCCCCATTGAAACCTCGTTTTCTTAAGGCATTCGGTCAAAGGAGCTACTATAGTGCTAAAGTTTCTAATGAATTTTCGATAAAAAGATGCCAACCCAGGAAAACTTTGAACTTCTTTAACATTTGAAGGTGCTGGCCACTCACTTATGGCCTTAGTATTTATGGGATCGACTTCTATGCCTTGCTCACTTATTATAAATCCTAAAAAGATAAGTTTGGGCACTCCAAAAATGCATTTTTTCAAATTTATATATAAGGAATTATCTTTAAGAGCAGACAAAACATGCTTGAAGTGAATAAGATGCGCATCTAAATTTGTGCTATAGATCAAGATGTCATCAAAATAAACCACCACAAATTTTCCAAAAAATGGTTGTAAAACTTCATTCATAAGACGCATGAATGTACTTGGTGTATTAGAAGGTCCAAATGGCATTACAAGCCATTTAAATAATCCTTCATTAGTTTTAAAGGCGGTTTTCCACTCATCTCCCGGTTTTAATTACAATAATGGTTAACTAAGGTTAATCACAATAACTAACTAATAACCTAACTAATTCTAAACAACAATAAAAAACAAAATACTTAATCTAATTACAAAGAGAGCCCTAACATCTAAATACCTAACAAACTACTACATCATGTAAAGTCCGTGACATTGGGAGAATCTAGACTACTAATAATTACATTAATAGCGTCCTCCGTCTTTTGAAAACATATTGTCTAAAAAGCTTTTATTCACAACTTTTCGTTAGTTGAATTAATAACTAACGCTTTAAGCAAACAACTTTTAATATTTTGGATCACTTACTAAATTATATTGTATAGTTATTCCTTTGTTTGTATTTCCTTTTGTATTTAGATTCTAATAGGTAAGTGTTTCCTTGTTTGTTTTGTTTTCCTTTTTTGTCCTTCCTTGTAATTTCTATTCCATCTAATCTTGTATCCATTCTTTGGAAGTAAGCAATAATTATTTTTATCGTCCATTGACATGGTATGATAGCTAAGAGTTCTTTTTCGATTGGCCACTCATATGTATTTTTGTTGGATACTCATACAGTCAAAAGAGATATAAATGATGTCATCCTCCTAAAAGGTACTTCATCTCTACTGATGTTACGTTTAATGAAACCTCACATATCTTCAAGGAGATGAAATATTATTGGAAGATTAGGATTTTCCCATTCCCAACTTCACCTTTCCTTCATCCCCTTCATCACCTGTACCGAATCCTTTACCATAGCATGTACCGAACCCTATTGAAATGGACTTCAATCAATCATCATCTTTACCACTCATAGACACCTCATGAGGGCCATCTAACCCTCTTACCAATATTCCATTACAAGTTTATATAGAAGAAACAATGAAAAAGATGAGTCAGATGTGGACTGAAATTGATAAGAAAAGAGTCAATATTCCATTACAAGTTTATATAGAAGAAACTGAAAAAGATGAGTCAAATATGGAC